AACTTACGAAGCTGTACCTATAGCACTTAAACCATCCTACGAACCAACATATACCTATAAATCACCTGCCTAGTAGCCGCGAGTATCTCTTACAGAGGAAGGGTATTATAACCCTCGCTTAGACAGAAAGGGGGATATCGTCGAGTAGAATGTCACGGTACAAGTGCAAGTCGAGGACAATTGCGACTTGGTTGAATAGATTGATTACAGGGAGAGAAGAGATTCTTAAGGAGATCTATCTTTTAAGTCGGTTGACACTGGTCTGTGCTGGTTTATCCATAATTGTGAATAGCTTCATGAATGAACGCAGGTCACCTGATCTGACTCCTTGACACAGCCAGAAGAAACACCGAAACATCACGCAGCGTTCGGCATTTGGAACAAACTTCCATGGAATATATAGAATTCTATTCTATATAGAAACCTCTAGGCCTCATTTGGTATGGAATAGAATACTACAGTGAAGAGGCCTCTAGAATTATAGACTTCTAGAAGATGTTAACATTACTCTTCGACTAACAAAAATGCTTAATTTCTAACTAGGTATTACCAAAAAGGTATATCACGTTTTAGATCTATCTAGCCCATCGAGGTATATGTGATACGAGTAGCTATAATGTCCTCTAGTAGTTGAGCTGAGCGTTATAACTAGTTTAAGGGTCATGTGATTAGTTCTATTCTAGATTTTAGCAAATTCTAGAGTATATTACAATAGAGTAGAATTATCTATAGGGGGTAGGGTCTGGAATGGAAAGGAATTTCAAACGCCGAACGCTGGCTTTACATTACTAGACTTCCCCTTTCACCAACTTCGCCTGACAAGTACTTAACCTCAAATAATTAGAGCCGCTCACCATTAATTTCACTCCACTACCTATCCGCCACAAGATTTCACACCTAAAGTCGGATGTACACCATTCCTTGTATGAGCATATCCTTTGATTCCTTCCATTCCCTAAAAAACATTCATTTCATTCACCCCCTTTCGCAGTCATAACCATAAGTAACACACCTCACACCAAGTCACCCGGTACATGCCTGCGTACCTCAATGGAAACATAGGTGAGAGCTTTACTTAAAGATTGACTAGTCAAACCGCAAAAAACTCAGCTCGTCTGGTTATTGTCCGAGGCCACCTTTCTTTGAGGGTGAGGATTTTTTGATATTTTTTTAAGGGTGGTTGGTTTTGTTGATATTTTTTCTTTTTTGGAAGGGGAGGGGAAACGGAGTGATATGGCAAGGGGTAACAAGCGATAATAGGGGGATAGGTCCAGGACGAAATTCTATCCTATACATCAAGAGTCCCAAATCAACCGACTCTCCCAAAAAGCAGATTATTGAGTGTGAATCGTGTTTCAGTAGGCGTTCGACAGAGCTCTTGAATTGGGTGATTAAGCTGCTTATTCTGCAGACCAGAAGTTGTATGAGCAAGAGCTCGAGAAGCAATATCATTCCCATCCTCATCAATCTTATCTGCTTTCTGACCATATTAATGGTCATCGGCGGTAGCTATCTCAGTGACGGAGTGAGCTACTAGCTCCTACAGCCATGCTCCAGTGCCATCCATACTACTCACGTATCCCTTCCAGACCAGAGAGGTGCCGATTCTTTCGTGCACGCAAAGTGGATATAAGTGGATGCAAAAATGGGTCAAAGTAAGTCTCAAATGCTTAGAAACCTAGCATGGTTGGTCAACCGATTTTATTCTACGGGGAAAATGTTGTAAAAGTAGATATCGTTAATCCACTTTGCGTACACGAAAAAATTAGCACCTCTCTGGTCTGGAAGAGATAGCTGTAATTGGTTGGCGGTCTAATGTTCATCAGTGTCGTCCTCGTTTAAGTGGCTTGCTTAATCAGAGGGTGTTCTTCCAAAACCCCCAATTTTCGTCTATCGTTACTACAGATCGTAAAGGTTGATATGATATCTGAACAAGATCTTCCACCTATTAAAACTGTTCAAACGGAGATTTTGTATTGCCCTTTTGCTCTTTCGAATCCATACGCTGTGCAACAGACTATGTACGGCATCCTGAATGTACTAAAAGGCCGAATAGACTTAATCCTAATTCGCAAATCGCAAATCGTAAATCGCAAAAGTTATATATTTACTACTACTGTGCTAGAGTGCCTATACCCCCACACCCCCACTCTTAGCTTCACGTGCCTAGGCAATCGTGTATTTCCACTACCCCCGGGCCTCACTACCCTCGGGCCTCACTGTCGCCGTATCCTCGCTATCGCATCCTCGCTGTCGCAATCCCGCTTTCGGATAGGGTTGTGCCCTAGTATGTTCTTGAGAGAGAGAGAGAGACAGAAGCGGGGAAATATTCTAGTCGTACTTGTGTGTGTCGCTTACGGATTCCCAGCCCCGAATACTACCTTCCCAAAACGGCTAGACTAGCACGTGTTCCGCTAACAATTGTTTGCTTCCTACCTTTCCTCGATCTCTCCCTCCTACTTTTCTTTTCTCTTTTTTTTTATTACGGCAGGCAGCGATAGCGATAGTAATAGCGACGGCGAGGATACTATAGTAAGAACGTAGCGACAGTAAGGAGGAGGCAGTAAAAATACAATAGTAAAGATATAACAGTAAGGGGGCAACAGTAGGTAGCGAGTTTATATAATCAGGCCCCTATCTTAAGTACGTGGGGTGTAGGGGTATAGACACTCTAGCACGGTAAATACATAACTTATGCGATTTGCGTTGCGATTTGCGATTTAGGAATTAGTATTAAGTCTATTCGACCTTTTAGTATATTCAGGATGCCGTACTATGTTAGTCTTTAAAATTATCATCTTTACCAGTTGAACAATCAACCTTCTATTCATCTTCAGCTGACTTGCTAGAGTCACTGTTTGCAAGATCAGGTGAACAGCCATTTTGTGGCTCTCAACCCGATAATGGAGTGGGGTGGCCTTAGACTTTTCGAAAGCCCATTCTAGTCAAAATAATTTGGTAACAAGATCGAGAAGCGCTTTTATCTCCTTATGAGTGCTTCCCGTACGTTTCACAGCAACGTGCACACTTCCGAGTAGCTTACGGTCGTAGAAAACGAGGGCCATCTTGCAGAATGCACTGAGGTTCTTGTAATATCATCAAGACTTGGGGACCCCCCGTTGCGATATTCGAAACCTCTTTTGGTACACTTTTGCAGCGGATTTCATCTGGAAAATTGAAATCGAATCATCGATAACTATGCTCAGGGATGGAAAGTTCTTGCCACCCAGCGGTGATTGGGAAAGGATGCGTTTTAAGTGATTCCTACCTTTGTTGTGGAAACGGAACCACTCGTCAGTACTTACTGTTGTTATTATATTAAAAATACTGTTACAGACAACCTTTTGTCGACTGAGATTTACGCAGTGCATTGAATAAATTGACCCACTCGACAAAAAGAGAAGATAGCATAGCTGAGAATAGAAGACTGGTAAAGCAATTTATAATTATTATTCTGTGCTGCGCAGTGTAATCATAATCGCATCTCAGTTCCGCCCCCGAAGATCCTTTGCAAGCTTGCTACTATCCTCGGCTTTATAGCATATTTCTATGGTGCCAACGTTCAGAAAAAGAGCAAAAAAACAACTTCTAGTGGTAAACCCTTTAGGACATTCATATTCAAACTTAAACGGGTCTCCCATCTCAGTTAAAATATAGGAAACATATCAAAGCAAATTGAGATTTAGTAAGACTTGCGCTACAACCAATCACAGTGCAACTACGTGGAGATTAAGGGTAAGAGTTCATCGTAATAGTTTGATTAGAAGCCATTTATTGGACTCCAAGGTGCATTATTACTTCAGGTAAGTCTACTGATACAATTCCTAAAATAAAGCGTGGACAGAAGGGTGGTAAGCGGGTGGATACACCCAGCTTCCTTCAGGCGATCAAGTCCCTGTAGCTTCAGGGTGTTATGCCCTAACTGCGATGTGCAACAAAACCTTTGAGACTGACTTAATTAGGTAAAGCGCACTGAGAATTCACTAAAGATTTGGCATTCACTTTGCCGCTTCAGAGAGACTGACTACGAAGCCTTGGCTGTTTTGTCATGAGCTGTCGTGATTCGCTACTGGGTCTACAAATACCAGCGAGTAGACTTCACTCACTTCAGCGGCATGAATCTGTTCTCCCTGCACCTCAAGTATCCGTACCCCAGAGCCACATGTTAAAAACCTATGATTGCGTCTTAAATACTGCTGCATAAGAGATCGTCAATCTGAAAAAGATCGTGGATCTACAGGAAGATAAGAAAGTCTCACATAAGCATGAAAAAAGAAATACTACTCGTAGAGGGCAAGAATTCCTCGGTTATGCTACTAGAATAAAAATTCAAAACGCAGAAACGATTATCGTATTCTCTTAAAACACGAAACCACATAGATATTTGCTTCGCAGACTTGAAGTTCATCCTCCAGCATAAACCACATTCGCTTCTTCTGCCAATAACAAGGCCGAAGCTTGAAAACCCCATATATCCCAACTAGAACACATCAAGTTTTCATGAAGCAAAAAAGGGAGCCCCCAATAAGGTAAAAACCAATATCTAGGTGACTGGGAGGAAAATAAATAACGTAAAAACACGACCGCACAACGTCAACATACGCCAACAACCCCGTGAGAACGCCCGAAATTTTAATGCGATCGCACATTTACGTGAGGCTCGCTTGTCACGTAAGACAAGCGAGCAGGCTAGGCTATGCTACTTGTAGCATGGATCAGAAGAATACCTATACTGCACACCGTGACAGGGCAGAAGACGTCGGCGAAAATAGTAATAGTAACACAAGTATCCCACTTGCCACCGGACTCAGTGGTGGTAAAAAGCAAACACTCGTCACCATAATATATTACATCTCACACACCGGTTCGGCGTAAGAGTCTTACTACCGAAACCGAGACATTCTATAGCCGCTCACTCATCCCAAGTCACCTGAGCTACGGTAAATCTTCCAGGTAGTTATTATACTGATTCGTTTGATCGTATCTCCGTACATCCTTTTCTTCCAAAACCCCAAAGGTAGCTTCTTCATGCCTTCCTCTCACTGATTAACTTTACTTACATACCAGCCCATGAAAACAATGAGTGGAGCCTCCACCAAAAACGCCATGGTATGCCAAACAAAAAATGAATGCCGTATATCCACAATTGTGATAAAACCTTCACTCCTTTGGTATGCCAAACTCAAAATGCTGCAAAATGCACCGGTGTGTATCGTGAGATCGTATTCTATATGAAAGTATTCTCTCCTTCGTACAATCAAAATGCCGAGAGTTCAATCTTATCCATGTCGCCACATTATTGCTCCAGTAAAGTCGCAGTGTCATTGACGTATTCATTTAACGGGATAAAAATCTTTTCTTGCCCCCGTGCATAATTTAACCGACAGCTTTCCAAAGATTGCCGAATCCAGGGACAGCTTCTCCCTTTAGAGACTTGGGAATGTGGGCTGCGTCTTTGGCTGCTTGGCCATTTGTCATGGATTCTTGCGAGAAGATGTCTTGCTTGATCCATTCTTTTTGTGCTGGGAACCATTGATGTCTATTGAGAATCAGTAAAAACCCCATAAGATGTTCCAGCTGGGCACGCAAAGATCAAGACCTACCCTTCATGCTGGGTTTTTGTTAGAGCTCTTGACGAGTACTCCTCCGTCAAGATACGATCGAAAGAATAAGGTACCAAAGCCTGAACACCTTCAAATTCCGTCTCTCTCAACGGATAGAGGTCCCTCGTTCTATATCGATGGAAATTCTTACAACTCCATATCCCAGGCTGCATACTTGGATTTGTCTCCGCAAGGCCAGTGATATCAATGAACAGCCCATTAACAGTATCAATCCATCGCGCATCAATAACATTCTGTCCGTCTCCCCGTAGTCGATCATCAATATGCGGATTCACATCAAGTAAATACTGTCTTTCCCCCGTGGACCCGTCAAGTTCTGAAATCGTGAAGTTGTGTAAAGTCATGTTCATATTCTGACCTAACCAAGTTAATGTCGAGGCAGAAACTTGCGTATCCAGATCCCAATCCCAAGGCATGATTTTCCCATTCCACCACCATCCCAACAAGGTCCCATGAGCAATCCAGGTTTCAATGTTCTTTGAGCGGAAAATACTGAGGTAGGAGCGGATAAGATTGTGAAGTGTATGACGTTTTACTTCGTACGATACTGGAGCGCCACTGAAGTATCTGATATCATAGTGACCCCATTCATCCCCACCACCTGGCTCGTGGAAATATTTTGTGTCGACCTCCAGTTCTTGTTCTGGTTCTTGTTCTGTTTCTGGTTCTGGTTCTGGTTCTGTTATTATTGGCGCGGCGAGGGTCGATATTAGGAAGGGTGCGAGAAATACGAGTGAGAGGAACCTCATTCTTGGACGGGCGAAGTCAACAACTGGGCTGGACACTTCGGTTACGATTCGAGTCCTCCTTTCATGATATTGTTTAAGGATATATACAGACTCAATTCGCGTGTAGTATTTTGGGCAAGTAAAAACGCTTCGCAGGAAGAGCAAATACCAATGTGAATTGATGCAAATACCGAAGGCGCAGGGAATCAATGATCTTATGAAAATCTATAAGTATGCCTTACGGGGATATTGGACTTGGCAGGGCATCAGGAGAGAAGAGATTGACGTAGTAAGGTGACACAGCTATCCAACAAGGTGGGTGAAAATTCGCAAGCAAACAAGTTCAAGCGAGGTAGCCGAGTGAATAAATTTATTACCAGGAAAGACGATGTGGAACAACGGCTTCTACAAGAGCCTTATCAGAGCTAGAAAAAAAGGTTAAGAGGGCAGAAACTTGCATAGATATGGTGGGATAAGGGTGGGTTTTGATCTCCAGAAGATGTGCATGATGATGCCAGAAGTTTGGCATCTCTTACTTAAAGTACACTGCCGCCGCCTCCTCTGCAACAGGGGTAAGATGCATGCTGGCCCTGCGCATTGGAACAGGAGTGGTTGTGCGTCAGTGACAAGACTCTTGGAAATAAAAACGACAGGAAAGCGGTGGTGACAAAGAACCGAAATCATGGAGAAATGCGTCTGATAGGGGTGTGCTCCTTGTATAGCTGGTGCGGTGATTGGTTGGAATTGTGAGTTACAAGGATTGGAAAAGACCCGCCAGCATGGGGCCTGTTTACCAGTAAACTGTCTCTTTTGGATGGAATTCTTCCAAGAGAAGGGAATTCTAAAATTGAACAACAGAACTTCCAAAGCCACTAAAAATCATTTACAAGAAACTCAATGCGCTTCGCGATTGAAGAAGAGAAGAAATATTCAGTCAAAATTTATGAAGGTTTCTGTTTCGCAGCGAGTACTTCGAAGTAAATCTTTCCGGAGCTGAGTACGAGACAGTCTCCCCGCTATGGTAAGGTTATCGGCTCCAAATCACCAGATCTTCATGCTCAGAACGTCATGAACCCTTCCCCTTGGCATGTGTACGATTGAGAACCATAATCTGCAATTATTTACTCAATTATTTTCCAACATACGCGCGTAGCTCTCGTCAGCTTCTGCAAACGAGCATTGTGGCTGACTCTACAGGTGCTACAAGAGCCTCCATGCAACACGGACTGTGGTGCATATTATTGACGAGTATGAATTGCAGAACTTGCTCACGCGAACAATTTCCCGGTTCTCAACCCCAACCTTCCAAATTCCATTTTTGGTAGTGGATACCTCAACAACGTCACTGGTATCTCCGACTTGGCGTCTACTCCGCTCTACTTTCTTTTTCTTTCAAGTTTGCCGGCGCCTCTTTCTGGGCGACCGACCGAACAAGAACAAAGGATTCCACGTAATAAATCGGCGATTTTCAATCATATAAAGTACATGCGAAGAAGTTCCATCTCACATTCGTACGTTTCAATCCTTACATAATCATGAACCAAGAACCCAGATCGTCGGATCTGGTGGGATGATTTTCACAAAATCGTCCGAACTCTGTGTACTCGACTCAAATGCACTTGGGATGGGTTCCGCTATTCCGCTTTCAAGTTCGTATTTGTATGAATGGTGGCTGTTTATTGGTTAATATCTTCTTGGCTCGCTTGGCTTGCCTGGTGCTCCCAAACTTCTCGATACATGAAGTTCATTGAAGCTTTGTCAAGAAAAGTCTGGGGGACCAAAATCCAAGAAGCCTTGAAGCTCGCGACTACAGAATCCGGGGAGGAAAGCTGGAGCCTGAAGCTTTATTTGGTTCCTCGCCCTTCTAGGCAGGAGTGTTGAGACCTGTGCCGCTCATTCCGCTTGGTACTGTATTTTGGTACCGTGCGATACAAGGGGATCAAAGAAGCCAATCGAAGTCTCAAGCACATGTTCAAAAACTGCTTTTCAAGCTAAATTCTCTTATACAGGAAAACCTTGATACTAGGATATGGGTTTTGCTAGTATTCGTAAGAATTTAACCGAGGTATCCTTATAGCGCGTATCCTAGTATTCTAGAATCTGAATAGAGTTTAGACGAATACCACGACGCGGAGCTTCTTGAACAGCAAGGCACTGCCAGTTGGCGGTGTGGATCAGGGAGCATCGTCATTGTTCTACCTTTTCTACCTTGTCAGGCAGGAGCGAGTTCTTGTTGTGAGTATCTCTTCAACAATCCCTTTCTACGCTTGAGAGACAAGTCGCTTCAAGCTCTTTGCACGGAAATGGCTTAGAACGGCGTCGCCGGGAGAGTTACACGTGTTTGAGACGCCCTCGTCAAGCGTTTGGGTCAACTCAGGCTGCGGCTTCCCCTCACACTTAGGGCCACACAAACCCGGCCTCGGGAATGCCGAGGTCAAGGTGTGTACTGTGCTGAGAAGGAAAACCGGAGAGTTTCCCTCTCGAAAGTGTATCACGAAGGGTAAGTTTGTGAAGTATTCGGTAGTAGTGACGTGAGCATAAGAAGTATCATCAGGACCTTGGTATCGGATGTCGGTTCTTGTTAGTAAGACTCTGTTTTACGATGAGATATAAAGAATTGAGGGATGCAGGGCAATAGCATAGCCGAGCACGTGAGATATCTTCATTTTCAGAAGTCTTCAGTTAGTTCCCAGATACGAAACTTGCCACAACTCTTCAATTACGTCTATCTCACTGGTGCATCTGGAAAGACTTTCCAAAAGCTTTAAAGGGAAGCAGGAGGAACTTCAAGGTCACGTGCTTGGAGTAGCAGACCTAAGTACTCGAGTAAGCCGAGGTCCAAGGCTGGTTGGTTGGTCCAAAACTTCTTCTTGGCCCTCGTTGAAGTTGAGAGACTTGAAAGGGCTTCACTGGGTATGGAAAGTCAGACCTGAGAATCTCGAATCCGAAAGGTATCTCGTTGCAAGCTTCTTTCCTTCCATGTTCATTCATTGAGAGGTGATGTGCGGTGTTTGAAATGTGGGGCATGTAAGATACCCGACAAGCATACAAAAAACAGAAACTGCACAAGAAGACTGCGAAGCTGGCAATATCACACGATGGCTTCCCAGACAGCTGAAGAGGCAATGAAAGCGGTAAGGGGAATATTTGAGCAGTGCGTCCTCTCTTCAGAAACAAATCTCACCATTGTCTTTCAGAGAACTGACCACTCAAAGGTACCACAACATCCGCAAAGCCCGGTGCTATCAGGGTTACGACGTCGATCTCATGAAAAATCTAAAGCTCGTCGCAGCTACTCCAAAAGGCACTACGACGTACGAACTTCTTATCGATGAACGGTATTCGAATCTCAATGGCGTTATGCATGGGGGTGCAGCTGGCGTGATTTTCGACATGTGTACCACGACTGCACTGGGTCCATTATCTAAAGAGGGCTATTGGGATTTTCTTGGGGGTGTTACTAGAACTTTGGGGCTAAGTTACTTGAAAGGGGTGGCGGTTGGTATGTTCTCTCTCGTCCCCTTCATTTCTATTCGTGTTGAAGAGCAAAAAATTGAATTTCTATGAGATTAAAACTAATGTTTTCTCTTCTTCAGGCACGACAGTAAGAATTCATAGTGAAGTGATTCAAGCAGGCAGAACGATGGCATTGATCAGGGGCTCAATGGAAAGTTTAGATGGGAAGACAGTTTATTGTACTTGTGATCATCACAAGGTTCATGTTCCTACACCGGAGGAGAATAAGAAATTTAGACCTGGAGGAGAGAAGGGAAAGCTTTGAGAGCATGATAAGAGATGCAGCAGGACCGACCTGCTATGCATAAGTATTCTAGCAGATACATTCTTAGGAATGCAGGGTCTTTTTTACATTCGTTGTAAAACTTTCTGTGGCTGGATTAAAGAAACATACTGTAATAAACGGGCATGGAGGCTTACCATGGGTCGTAAAGGAGGCCAGTGCTGCGGTAACTATTCAGGAGAGAAAAGTGGTTCAGATTCTTCGTCACCGGTATCTAACAGAGAATCAGTATCAGGGCTGTTTTCCGATTGGTATAAGAAACCTGGTCATTGCTCTGTACACGCTATCAGAAGTTATTATACTAAAAGTCTAGTATAACTTGATTAATTACCCTATTTTACCTAGGTTTATAAGGAGTGAAAAGTATTAATTATTCTAAACTATTCGTATAGTTGGTTTAGTTGTATAAAGTCTTTAGGATAATATTTTTATAACTTATAGGTGTACAGAGAGTAATGCCCGCCTCTCTTACCATCCTTTCGTAGATGGGTTCTCGTGTCTAGTTGACCATAAGATAGTCTAATATAATGCTACATAAAGGTCTGAGGCTTCAGCGCTCTCAAAATGTCGATCTCGGTTTCCCAAGTACTTCCATCATACACAGATACCAATGACTCTATAAGTTGCGCAGCACATATGACGTGACTCCTCAGCGATAAACGGAACTTCATATAGGGTAAGGGGTAGGTGAAGAGACCTTTTTGCGAAGTTGTCTTCTGTCTATTAATCAAGTGGGTTATGGTTGATCCCTATCCATTTTTCTGGGTCGGATCCCGAATATTGACCCCGGTGGTGCAACAAGCACGGTGATAACGGTTCGGCCAATTTCCACGTCGACGGATCTATGTTGTTTCTGGCTATTCATTAGGCTGGCAATAAAATTTCAGTAAAAGCCTGTATGTTATGGTCTAGCAAAAATGAAGTAAAGGTCTGCTGACATAAAATAAAAAAGCTCCTGTAACATAGAGTGAATTGCCTGATGACATTGCAAAGCCCACAGATCCCACAATTTCCAAAATTATCTTTAAATTCTCTAATTACACATCTGGCCATCACAAAACCTGATACTGTGCGCCTGGTCAAGTCAGTCGAGTGTGTAATGTGATTCCCAAAAGCGACAAGCACACGGAGCTGTTCCCTCAATCGGAAAAAGTCCACTGCCTACGAAGGTGGATTTCCCTAGCCCCAAAAGCACCAGTCCCATCGCGCCTGCTAGAGTTTTGCCATTTGGTTTTTTGGTTCTCTTTTTTTTTGGTGACCCTTACCCTTTTGGGACGCGTTGTACGTTGTAAAAATAGCCCCAGCTGCCTCGCATGCCTGGTTAGCACGCTCGTTTAAGACGACCAATCATGGAAGCGGGCTTATCTTGCGAGCACTCAAAGAGTCTAAGCTGCATTTCCAGACTCGAATCTGTCCTATGTGCTGAATATCTACGTGAATCCAATTTGGGATCTACTAGGGGGTTATTGAGGACAAGTGTAGTCAGGGATGCCCCAGACTGTAACTTGTAAACACTAGCCATTTCTGCGCGGCAGTCAAATGAAACAACATTCTCACATAAAATGCTGCAGTAATACAAACATAAGTGTGCTGGTTGTGGCAATTGTATTCCTCTCGCTCTAACCATTTATTGAGACTATGTTCTTCCTGGCCATATGTCAATCAACAAACACATTTTCTTCTGAACCAGAATTGTATAACGATAGCTGCGGGAAATCTAACCATAATTTGTTTTGGTTTACCTTGGTTAACGGGGAGAAAGACATAAATAGGAAATTATAGGATACTTTTGAATGTCAATATTTAAAGGGTCGCAGACAGAAATGGGGCAAGTGATGAAGTGTTCAAAATCAAGTAAGTGGATTGGTATAATGGAGATTTTCAATTGGTTAGGGGGGTGGTTTCGGATCATTGTCATAGAGAAACTATCCAGTCTCTTCTGAGCACAATCTTACTCTGGACCATGCAAGAGCAAAGGTATGACCGTCAGATCATTCTTTGATGAGAACGTCGTTATTGACGGACCCCTTCAAGAATGCCAGCAACCTCAGGGTTCTTCAAAAGCTAAGCTTCGCTCTGAATTCCGGCGTCAACCGCAAAGTAAACTGATAACCTTTATCCTGAGGAATAAGTATTTCATACAAGCGGAAAGCATCTTTCAGCTCCTTCGCATTTCCAAGCATCCAGTCGGTCGTGAAGACTCCTGTTTCATCATCGTGAATGATTGTCAGAGGTTCCGTGCGTCGTGGTGCTTGAGATTGCAAGACGGAATTGCGGGCTTCAGACATGTTCCGGAGCTCTTGGAGTGCTGCCCGCGATTCTGGGTCGAGCGAAGTATCGGAGCTGGGTGGATGGGCTCGTAGGTAAGCTGCCAGCTCTGGAGCCAATTGGACGCGGGTCATATGGTCTGCTGCGAGAACTTGTGCCAATCTTCAAGATTTCGGACTGGTGCAATAGGAAGCTCAGCTAGGTCAGACATGGCGATGTATTGTTCAGACATGATGTGATGTGGTTCGATGTGATATGGTTCGATGTGATGTGGTATGATGAGAGAGAGTGTGGGACGAAACTGATGGAGTATCGTGGACTGATGGGCCCTTTTATGGCTCAAAATCAACTTTGTTTTCCCAATTCGAATAGTTGTTCATCGCTTGTTCTCTATTTTGAGCTATTCTCTACGTCTTCCCTCTCTTGGGTCTTTCTCTTTGAAGAAGTTCATAACAATGCACTATGCAGTTGGCTTTTTTGTACAAGGAACCATGACTTCTTTGACATAATACCTCACTACCTCGGCCCTACTATAACCGAAGAGTAGGCATGAGTCTACTCATCAATCATGACACTAAATGATTGGAATATCGATTCAGCTGTGCAAGTAATAGTTAGCTCTATTAACACTTGAATATTTATATACACTTGGAATAATCATGTAATCTTACATCTTCATAGCTTGACTATGGCGATGTGCAAGACGTACCCTTTTGTGCAGCAAACTATGCTTTTAGATGAGAGCCCAGCTACTCGCTAAGGACTTAGGAGTTACCCGAAAAGACCTCTGATTTGTATACCAATTTCCATTAGATTAAAGACTACGAAAAGTTTCAGCGCCTTAACCCAGTTAATCGATTAAGCGAGGCGAGCACTGTAATCGCTAACCTCACGAAAATCCACCTCATAGATCCCATTGTACTGCTTCTCCTTATCCATACGTCTAAACATTTTAAAGAAGACCTTCTGACAAACGATGGTTAGTCAAAATTACGACTTGCTTTCTAGGAAAGGTTCTTCTCAAATTTCTTGAAGGAAGAGGTCTATTTGGATGCGCGTGACAACGATACGCTTAGAGTAGCCTTCCTTCATGATACCAGTAAGAACTTCTGCGATGTAGATTGAGCCGTTGATGTACTGTAGAATATATCGGGGGTAATTAGGGTAAAGTGTATTGTTGCTATGCAGATTTTGGTTCTCTTTGAAGATAACTAGAGGCTTTTTGTCATTTTGTTTGGTTTCTAACTTGAGATCTTTATAATTTTATTTCTAAAGCGTGTTGCTTTGTATTGAAGCGCTCTAGAAATTGGGATGATGATTTAAGATTTCTAGGTGGCCGACGTGAACGTGATGGTAGCCTTTGTCTCACAGCAAAGAAGCATGATAAGCGCAGCGCGCTCAAAGACCAGGCACAAGTAGCTTCTTTGACATAGCCAACCAAAGAATCTAAACAAGGCTATTGTTGCCCGCCTATAATAATCAGAACTTTTGGGCCTCTTTAAATTCTCTCTCCAGGCATATCAACTTCGATATAAATTCCCAACTTTCGCACACAACAACAACACAACACAACATCCTTTTATCCCTCCAAATACGCATAATGTATCAACCTCAATACATTACCCTCTCCGAGCTCGAGCTTTCAAACACCTCGACTCAACACTTCATCCCTGGTCCTAAAGACTACGCAGAAGCCGGTCTTCAACAGGTAACTGACTTCCCCTCCGAGAGCGCCAACATGGTATATTCAAGCTATCCCGACCCAGAGACCCTGGCTGAGGGTCCTCAACTCCCATACTTTCATCTCCCAACCCTTACCATTCCACCTCAATCCCCCTCAGCAGGCGACTACCCAGAATCCCTCGCTCTCTCCCCCACCCTTCCAAGTACCTCAATCCCCTCCCTCCTCATAACCCCACCAACATCCTCTCAACCCCAACNCCAGAATCCCTCGCTCTCTCCCCCACCCTTCCAAGTACCTCAATCCCCTCCCTCCTCATAACCCCACCAACATCCTCTCAACCCCAACCCCGCCCCCTCCGCACCATCAAACGCTCACCCCTCTGCACCTGCGGCTGCGCCAGCTACCTGCGGGCCGAGCTCCTCCGCGCGCACGCCGTGACACGTTGGGAATCCATGGGGTTGATCTCGGGGCCCATCGCCGCACTCTTCCGGCATGGGCATCCAAGAAAGTCCCCGGGCGTCGGGGGATGCACGAGTGTCTCTGCGGATGCGGAGAGCGGTTCACGCGGTTCAGGATGGTGAAGCATCTTATTGCGCAGCTGAATGAGCAGGGGAAGTTGTTGCCGCTTGAGTGGGAGGTTTCTGAGGAGAAGCGGGTGAATGCTAAGAAGAATTTGGCGATGATGCTTAGACATCATGAGAAGTTTGGGCAGGTTGCGAAGAGTGGGCCGCATCGGAAGAAGACGGGGTTGTTTTAGGAGGTGAGGTAGGTGATTGAGTGATGGACTGAAGGAGTTCTAGTAAGTAGGTGTTGCTTTGCTTCCTTCGCTAAGGTATATATGTCTCTTTTTTTTTCTGGCTTAATAATATTACTCTTTACCCAATAAATCGGAATGAAATGAAATGAATCTTGAAAGTACAGTGACCACCATAAGTGACAAATGTGAAGACCAACATCTTGAGCCCGTAACGGAAACAGCGGGAAACTAATAAGCTTCAAGGGGCGCAATACAGCAAGAGACAACAGTTAAGAATAATTTTAGTAGCTAACGACCATATTTGACAGCTTTGGGCATCTGGAGAGTTTCGTTCTATATAGGGTAGTTCTATAGTATACCATAGAACAAAATCACATGCTACTAAAACTATTAAAACGGCTCCTCGATATACTTCTTTACCTCTACTATCTAGTAGTTCGCTAATATAACTATACTAATTATCTTTACTACTACTAAGCGAAAAAGAGATTAGGATATTATAAAAGCCCTAAAGTGTATTTACTAAATATAGCTCGTATACTTATCTACGATAAATTAATACCCACTTTAATTCTCTTAAATCCTTCTAAGTAAAATACCTAGTCCTTACTCTAACTACTCTATAAAACCCTATTATATAAAACATTTAATACAAGTAAAACAATCATCTTAGGATACTAAAAAGTAAGAGTTAATAGTTATTCAATTTATTCAAGTTATTCTAAACTCTTTATTTACAGTAACTATTTTAGTTGTACGACGCTTTTCGAATAATGTTATTAATTATTCTAAGTGAGGTATATATAGAGTAACGCCTATCCATGTCTCGTACTCTTATATTAGTTAAAGTACCTCTAGAATTATATAATTTCATGGAATCCCTGTTCCTATCTAATAGAAACAATTCTTCTAATTATAAGGCGGTCTAGAAATATTCTATGTGTAATAGAGTACTATTTACCGAACGCTGATCTTTGAGCATCGAAATTCATTTCTTTAACCTATAAAGATTGCCATAGATGTTATCTAAATAAACGCTGGAATCTTTCTTTATCTTCTTAGCTTTACCTTTACCGCGAAAGTGTTCTTGAATATTAGTAAAATCTTTCAAAAGCCTATCTAATAGATAGTCTATATTATCTATTTACAATTACAAGTTCAGAAAGATCGTAGATACAAGAGAAATCCTAAAGTGTATAGCACACTTTCCAAAGCTCCAACTATAGGAAATCTTCAGGTTGACATATAAAATCACCTCATCACAACAAGCCCCCTTCAAAGCCTCATACCCCTTCCTTAACACCCAAAGCTAAACTACCAAAGCCCCTCCCCACAATCTCCAAACCCACTCACTCACTCCACCCGCTCCCTCACCTCCACCAGACAAGGCATCCCATCCCTCGGCCGCGCACTCCCCCTAAGAACCTGATACGACCTCTCCCCCTGCACCATCTTCACCCCCTCCCTCCCATCCATCCCCTTTCCAGCACCCATCCCATCAAACTCCTCATACACGCTCCTCACCCCCAACCCCCTAACAACCATCACAAGCACAACTTTCATCTCCATCATCGCCAATTCCTGGCCAATACAACTCCGCTTCCCCTCCTCAGAGGGTCGGAACGCGCCTTTGACAGGGACGGGGTGAAGAAAAGGCTCATGAGGGGCAGGAACGAGCCATCGCTCAGGGAGGAAGGAATCTGGCGAGTCCCAGTATGTGGGTGAGCGATGGAGGGAGTAGGAGTTTATCCACACCAGAAAGGTTTCTGTAGGTAGTTGCTGTCCACAAGATGAGATGGAGAGGCCGGGGAGGCCGGCGCGGGTGGTTCATGCGGGGGGGTAGAGACGGAGTGTTTCTTTGAGGATGGATGTTGTGTAGGGTAGTTGATTCAGGAGATGGGGATTTGAGGAGAGTTTTGCGGAGAGAGTTTTGGTGTCGTGGGTGGGACCGAGGATGCCGTTGTGTTCGGCGATGAGGAGGGCGATGGGGGAGGGGTGCAGGGAGAGGAGGTGGAAGGTGTAGGAGAGTGTGCTGCTTGTTGTGTCGTGGCCGGCGAAGAGGAATGTTCTTATTTGTGAGATTGCGAGGGCTTTGAATTTAGGATCCATCGTCTTGGTGGAATCTGATTTGTGGTGGAGTGAGATGTAGGAGGTGAGGGCTAGGTCTATTATGGATTTGCTACGGGATGTATTTATGTTTTTGTCGGAGGGATCTTGGGTTTTGTAGCGGGTGTCTAGTTCGTGGCTGATGTATTGGTGCATACGACTTATTCCACCACTGCATTATAGGACGGAGGGGGTGGTAGCGTTCAAAAAGATTGGCTTCGTTGCCGAAAGCCAGCGGATCTGACTACGAAGTGCTTCAACGAAGGGATTTGTAGTCCGCTGAGAATTCAGATTCGTGTCACTTTCCATATTCCCAATTATCAGTTTTTCTTTCCCAACGCCAAACAAACAAAAAACTCGGTAAAAAGAACAAATAGAACAGAATAAAAACTCACAGCACAACCCTCCAAATAACATCAAAACTACACCTCACCACCACCTCATCCAACCTCACCACCCCCCCCTTTCTTTGCTTCCTCCACCAATATCCCACACAAAACCTCCACATCCCTCACCATCCCCGGAACGAGGGTCATCAAATACCCCCCCGCAAACCCGGGGTTAAACACGCTCCTCCAAGTCTTCCACTCGCTTCCCTCCATCGTAACAAGATCCTCCCCACCGGTCATAGGACGCATGAACTCTTTGAGGGTGTGGAATTTGGGGAGGGAGTGTACGTGTGTGACTTGGTGCGCGGCCTCGGGGGGGGG